TATGCAAAAATGCAAGTATGCATGTATGCATGTATGCAAGTATGCAAAAATCTTGACGAATTTTTTGGCAACTTGAATAAAAAAATTAAACTCATGGTATACAAGTATGCATATAGAGAGACGTATAGAAGTGATAAATCGGTGGCTTTGATGTTATTAAGAAGTTAAGCAAAAAACTCAGCTATGTTGAAAAAACCGCTTTGACGCTTATTTCAGAATTGACTTTTTTGAGTAGAGAACCTTTTTAATCAAACGTTTTTAGAATGGTTTTATTTATCGTTTTTTGAACAGTTTTGTTTATCGTAAATAAGGCCAAAAAAATCAGGATTCATTTGACCTGATTCTCCGGTAAACGGCAAATGAATTTGAAGGAACGTTTGATCAAAAGGGTTCCATTTATCAACAGAAATGAATCCTTTATTATTCCGTTTTAAAGTTAAATTTAGTGCATTTAGTAATTTTTAAACAAGAAGTTTACTTTTATTTACAAATATGATCTCATTGGTATTTAAAGCTAATAAAGTCAAGCACTTGTCTAAATTTGCACTAACAAGGATATGATCCGTAATAATCATAAAAAAAGAGTCATAAAAAAATCTCTTTTTTTTTTTAATTTTTCTTTTTAAGAATTTCAGAAAAATTTCATGAAAGTTTTTATTCTAATACAAAAAAAAAAAAAAAAAAAAAAAGAAAATGAATATAGATTGTATATATATATATATATATATATATATATATATATATATATATATATATATATATATATATATATATATATATATATATATATATATATATATATATATATATATACACACACATATATATATATATATATATATATATATATATATATATATATATATATATATATATATATATATATAATATATAGAGTATATCCATAAAACTGTTCAAGATTGCTTACTAACTATTTTTTAAATGAATGAATGTTGGCAAAAGATGACTAATCACGTTAAGAAGATGATTAATCACGTTGCGTACGATAAATATTTGAATAAATATATCCATTTTATCTATTTTGTTGTATCCTACGAAATTGAGGAACTTTTTCCTTTTTAACATATGTCCCCCCCCCCCCTCCCACAACATTCGCGACCTTAGTCTTGCATAAAGCAACTTTAGAAAAAAAAAATTAGGAAATCGAGATTTTTTTATTTAAAATAATGTTAATTTTGCTGAGTTTGATATGTCTAATCCATGCTTTTTTTTAATTTTTATTTTTTTGTACAATTTTTTTCTAAGGAGCTAAGGAAAACTTGTTTTTGGCTAAATAGTTGCAAAGTCCTGTTTTTGTAGCCGGTACTTCAACTTTGCAAATGATGTGGATATTTGGAATCCAGCATTGGCTATCCACTGGTGGCTATTTAAATGGCCATGCAGGACCATTTGGACTCATAAAGTTGACAAGCACATCTTTTTTTTCTTGATTAATGTCTTCAAATACTCCTATCCACCACCTTTGCTCATAGGAAACACAGGCATTATCACCTAGTACTAAGTTTACAGTTACTTGGGTGTTTCCTAAGTTATAAATGAAAGCAAAATCTTCACCAACACTGCCTAGCTTTGCACCTTTCTAGATAAAAAAGTAACATATGCATTTATTCTGTTTAACTTATTTTGTTAAACATTTTATATTAAAGGCATTAAAAATAAATTGTCCAAAATAAAACCATATTTTTGACAATGATTCCACACAAATGAAACATTTATTTGAGTTTATCAATAAAAATAATGCATGTTTTTTAAAGATAACAAAAAGTATACTAAATATATTTTTTTACCTTTTGATGGCCAAGTGTTACAAACTGATGGTAACTACATGTTCTAGGTATACCTATACTGCAAATACCATACCGGTATGGTATTTGCAGTATTCAATCGTTCCTTAAAAGTTTTTTTTTTTTATCAAAGTTTAATCTTCTAATGATATATAAATGAAATATACACCTTCAATATGTTTTCATCACATCATTTCTACATTGCTTGTGGAGATAAAATATGATTACCCATATCTCTTTGCAAGCTTGCTAGTGTTGCTTAATGTTTGACTGTACCACCTATCCCATCAGAAGGTTGCTTACCATGACTAGTTGTAAAAAAGTTCCATTTAGGAGTAAGACCAAAATCTTCAAGAAAAAAAAGTCAAAATATTTTTGCAATTCTTATATTGACCTGTATACCTATCTAAAAAGCAATCATTTTTTATTTGAGGTAAATTTGTTTTAATATCTTTGCTAACAACATCAATAATTTTATACATCATCTTCACATCATGCATCATATCATCTGAAACAATACAATAAGATTTGTGTTTGATAAAACCTTCTTTTTAGAAATAAATAATCGCAGAATGAAGTGTACATTGTAAATTTGTCCAATGAAAGATTGTACTTTGTCCTGAACTACAAAATTATAGTTTTTTGAAAAAACATCCAGAAATAACGATGTTACATCATTTATATTTTCCTTTCTTGATCTCAGGTATGATGCTTGACTCTTAGCTAAATATGAGTGTGGTGCAAGTTTTGTCAGTTTTTTACATTCCAGTTCATTGTATTCAGACACTGGTTTTTTATTACATGTAAAGTTTGACTTATCTGTTGTTGTCCACTGATCAAATTCTACTTCATTGTCAAAAAGTTTTTTAACCAATGCATTCATAGTTGTAAGGCATCTTTCACATTTCTGCATCATGTAGTCTTTATTAGTCATGTCACATACAACATAAGAAAACAGTTCTTTGTATGTCAAACCAAGAGGATGTAAAAGCAGTTTTAAATTCTGATGAGTAGCACAGACACATACTGAATTTGTTCCTGAAACACCTGCAGTAATACATCATTTTGGTTGCAATGTGCAAAACCTTGAAAACCTTATTTTTATTTCTGGGTTTATGGTTTTAAAGGCAAAAAACAATTCCTATAAATTACATAAGAACAAACGTTTTTGCATGTTCACATGCAAAAATGTATAAAGTAAAAAATTTTTACCTTATGCTTACCTAGTCCTTTTACCAGGCATTATTTGGCTATATTCATCATCTTCATAAAAAGACTTGACCAGTTGAACTATTGCATCAAGAAGAGTTTTTCCTAATTTGGGAATATCTAAAATACCTATTTGTAATACTAACTTATGTACAATTCGAGCTACATAGTTTTTTACATGCAATGTTTCAGAAACTTTTTTTATTAACCAGTCAGTTGGAGCAAGCATTATCATTTGTATTTTGCTGTAGATTCTGCAATTTTATTAGTTAACAATGTCATAATGTTATCAAACAAGTTTGCTTTTTTCATATACTCATTACTGAAATTTTACCTTCTTCTGATATATTAATGGAAGTGGCTGCTTTTTTTTAATGGAAGTTGTTAATGCTGTCAACTTTTGTTTACTTTCTCTGATTTTACCTGAATTATGCAATCCTTTAACCTTAATAGGAGATAATCCAGCAGCTGTAAAATGTGTATGTACACCCTCTTTTTTATTTTGAATGGATGTTTCACTAACAATATCAAAATCTTTATTACTTTTATTTTCAATTTTTAATATATGTTTCATAACTCTACTTCGACAGGTTGGACAACTTTTTTTCCAGGTATAAGGTTAAAAGCTGCGGTTTCTGCTTCTAACACAGTATGCATTGTAATCACAAAAAGAGATGCTGAAAAGGAAATGTAACTATATTACTCAAAAACTATGCAATTAATTATTGCAATAGTTTTTGAGTAATAACTATTTTGAGTAATAACTATTGCAATAGATTTATAAACAAATCATTAAAAATAGTATTACCAATTAAAATGTAATTATATGAACTTTTACTTCTACACACTTTTTTGTGAGTTAAAAATGAATTACAGCAACTTTTATATATTTTAACAAGGTAATATTTATTGGGTATTATTATGTACATTTGTTGTTTTATTACTTATTTTATTAATGAGATAATCACTATTTTATTACAATAAAATAATCAATAAAATAAAGATTACATAATATAATATAATGTTTAATATAATATAATGTTTAATTTAATGACATAACTATTATGTAATGAAAATAACAATGCAAATAACATAACTGTTATGTAATGAAAATAAAAAGTAACAAATTTATAACTTAAAATAAACTATATTTTCTTGTTTTAGAGATAAAAATTTATAATTTTCAGATTAAACAGATTTTAAACTCCTTTGGTACCAAATTTTAGTTTTGCAAAGTTACTACAAGCACCTTATAAGGGTGATAGTGTATGGACATATTTCCGGGACTTTTCCCCCCTCATTTTTCAGTCGAAATTTAACAAACTTTAAGTTGCTGTTATTCTTAAAGGGATTAAAACTTTAAAAAAAAAATTAAGTCTTTCATAACTTAAAATTTTAAATATTTGTGCCAAGTTTCAGCAAATTTAGTGATGTAGGGTGTTTTTTAAAAAAAAATTTAAAAAAACAACCCCTTGTTTTTTAAAAAATTTACTCCACAAATAACATGGTTTTGTCCCACTGTGCTTCAGTTGCTGCACTTGACCAGGTTTAGATCCGCTTTGAACCCTGAGCATAAGTCCAACCAACTGGAATTAGTTAATAAAATGCTCTAAAAAACCTGTTTTTAAACAGGAAGATAAAGTTATCATTAAAGGAAAAGAAACCTCAAGTTGAGTTGTTTTTACAAGTTAAAAATTTATAAAAATTTGGTTACTTTTTCGAAGGTTTTATGTTTTAGACTGACCTTTAGTCATGATTAAGGAAAATATAAAGTAATTCTAAACTTTAGAGTTATTTTTATACTTTTTTTGTAAGTAGCATAGTCCCTACAATAACCATGACTAAAGGTCTGTCTGAAATAATAAACCTTTAAAAAAAAACAACCTAATTTTATTTATATAGAAAATAACTTATAAACCAATTTTATGGTTAATTAAAAAATATCCTAACTTGTATTTTAAATTTTACTTGTATTTTAAATTTTAGGTCTTAATGGCTCTGTTATCAGTTTTCCAATCTATGGAGATCAAAGTACAATCAAGTTTAAGAGCGTTCCTTTTTTTTCTGTTATTGAAGCTCCTGGCATTATATACTTGCAAGGACCACAAGTTCCAGGTGCAACATCAGAAGCTGTTTTATCAGCAGTTTTCCAAGGATGGCCAATTCTTCTACTCACACTTGTTATGGCAGCTCTTTCAGGAATGATTATGTGGGCTTTAGTAAGTATTTTGAAATAAACATTTATATTCATATGGGTGCATATGTTTGGTTTGTTAAAGGAGTGGTTATGTTTTGGTTGCTAAAATGATCTTTTTAAAATTGAATCATTGTTAAAAAATATAGTTTAAAAATTTCTATAAATAATTATAAATTGAAAATCTCTTTAATTCAAACTTTCATTTTCCACCATTAGATTCAAGTTTGAGAGATTTTACTGTATAATGTTTTAACTTGATATAAAATTTTTGAATTCTTTCTAAAATGGTTTTCTTTTGTTGTACTATAATTAAATTATTTTGTTAATTAATTTTTACTAAGAATATATATTATAATGTTTTCTCTAAGAAACAGGGTTTATGATGCAATGTAAGATTTTATGTTCTTTCTACTCTGGATTTTTTCAATTAATTTTTGTAATTAATTTTAACTAAGAATGTATATTATTATATTTTTTCTATAAAACAGGGTTTATGATGCAATGTGAGATTTTTTTTTCTACTTTGATTTTTTTTTTTATTATTTGCAGACATTTTAATTTATTCAATAATAAATTTTTGGAATTTTGAAAACAATTCAATAACGCTGAAAATAGGTGCTTAAAAAAAAAAATCCAAAATAAAAGCCTCTAAAAACTAATTAATGTAAAGTAAAATATCTAGTGGTCTTGCTATGTTCTTGATCTACGTTTTAATTTATGTCAAACTTTCTTGCTGTATCTTGCTTTTAAGTGTCTTGTCTTAAAAAAACAAGCAGTCTTTTGGTACTGTGTTAAACTTGAATGTTAAGTTTTTATTGGCTACAATACCTAAATAAATTATTTTAAATTAATCAAAATTAATTTTAATTACTACTAAAAAAACTTTGAACACTTGATACTTTCATTGTATTTCAAATATTTCATAAAACAGCAGGTTTTTTTCCATCAATCTATTTTATTTTGCAATGATCACATGATTAGCAATTTTATTGTGTATCTTTGATTTGACAAAAAATGCATAATGCAACATTTGTATTTCATGAATTAAGACAAATTCACGTTTTTTTTTTTAATCTTTTAATCCAATTTTACTAAATTATGTTATTTAAATAATATTACATTTTTCATTGAATTGCATAGGATCTGTTTTACTTGAGTTTCATAAGAAATACCTGTTTGAGTGACATCTGCTTACAATTTTTTAATTTAGTTGTATTGACTTGTGATCATTAAATAATATCTTGTAATGCATAGAGAATATTTATCCTAGCTGTGTATTTCATATCATAATTATAAAAATATAATAACAATATTTTTTCAAATAAATATTATTGTTTTTGATCATCCAAAAAAAAACATATCATTAACCTATATTTTTTGAATTTGATATATATATATATATATATATATATATATATATATATATATATATATATATATATATATATATATATATATATATATATATATGTGTGTGTGTGTGTGTGTGTGTGTGTGTGTGTGTGTGTGTGTGTGTGTGTGTGTGTGTGTGTGTGTGTGTGTGTGTGTGTGTGTGTGTATATATATACATATGTATATATATATATATATATATATATATATATATATATATATATATATATATATATATATATATATATATATATATATATATATATGTATGTATATATATATATATATATATATATGTATATATATATAACAGTATATATATAATATATATATATATATATATATATATATATATATATATATATATATATATATATATATATATGTATATATATATATATATATATCGTGGAAAATAACAGGTGGTCAATGACTGTCTGAAATGACAAAAATTGCTATTGAGCTCCCAAAATGAACTCTTGCTGGTCATGGTTGGCCCGTTGAAAAAAAAAATCAGTTTTGCAAAACATAGTTTGACAAACAATCAGGATGTAATTTGAAATATGCATATATTAAAACTTTATAAAATCATTTAAATTTTGAGAAAGCATTTAAAATAGTTTTGATATTTACAATATGCTCCTATAATATTTTTTCTTGAGGAGAATTATGATGTTAACTATATCTATTATATATTTTTTGCTTCACTTATTTAGATTACTTTCATTTTTCTTGGTGAAAATTCCATTTTCATAAATAATTAAAGTTCTTATTTTATTATTTTAATAATAATTTTTAATATACTATTTTAATGGTATAATAGTATTTAAAAACTGCAGTATTTAACTACAAATATATTTTTTTTCAACTTAGTCACGTAATTTTTTTCTTTTCTCTTTTTTTCTTTCTCTTACTCTTTACTTTCTCGTAAGTTTTTGCCGAAAATTGCAATAAATGAATGTATGATTTATAGATAAATTACTAATAGCCTGTTTGCTCTTTTTTTAAAATTACTAAAGGTAAATTACAAGGTCTGTCTAATTTTTTAATCAAATATTAAATAAATAGACTTGATAATGCAGTAATAGTTTGTTTGCTATTGCTGTAATGTTATATACTATCTTTTATTTTAATTTTATTGTAAAATAACTTTGTCTCAATTGGTTACTTTGTCACGAAAAAAAATGAGACATAACGTTGCGAGTCTCAACACGCAACGTTATGTCTCATTTGTTTTTTTTTTAATACTTTATATAGTGTAACCAATTGAGACGTAACATAACTTAATCTATATTTAAGCCGTAATTAAAATACGTCTCAAACATAGATTTTTTTAATGTTATGTTACAACGCAATTAGTTACCCTTTTTTTAAAAAAAAATGACATAATGTATCGTAAAAAAAATAATATTTGTAACATTTTAATTATGTTTCAATTCTAAAATGTTTTACATTATGCTATGTTTCGTTTGGTTATACTTTTAAAAGTAATAAGTACCTCAGATTACCTATGTACCGTAAATAATTTTAACTTTTAAATTTACTTTTTTTTTAAAGGTAAATTTTAAACAACTTTTAAAGCTTTAAAAGTTGTATTTACCTTTAGAAAGTCTTTTTTAAAAACAAACCCACAAGCTTAGGTTAATTTTAAAAAAAATTTAATTACAATAGTTTTGACAAACGTGTTATTGCGTTTTCAATAATCAAACACATAAATAATCAAATATATAAATAATATTGTAAATAAAACAATTCTGTTAAATACTGTACTCATCAGTTACAGTATTGAACAATGCGTTTGTCAAGACATTTGTAACTAAAATTTTTTGTTTAAAAACTGCTTATTATCATAATTTATTTTAATTGTAAAAAATAAATGTTTCAAATATTTTATTTTAACTTATGAAACTTATAAACTTTTAAAAAGTGTAGACTGAAACGTAACTTAATGTTAAAAAAATCTATATTTGAAACGTATTTTAACTACATCTCATATCTAGATTTTGTTACATTAGTTTTTTTTTTATTGTCATTAATACAAGCATAATACTTTAAGAGTTTTTATAAACTCACAAGCAAAAAGGTATATAATATGTCAACCTTTCTTATGAAATAGTCCAATCTATTACATACATTAATTAGTTAAATCCTATTAAGTGAAAGTATAGTTTGCACTGTCTTTGCAATATCTGTCTACACTTTTTGACTTGATCACTTTTCTCTCCTTCATTTTTTCTCTATACATATATAGCTCTCTTCATGTATAATTGCAGTCCCTTTGAATTTAAAAATGTACATGTGAAAAAACAAAACAAAAATAATAGTGATAGACCCTATAGATAATGGTGTTGCGTGCCATTAGGTCAAAATGTTATGTGTAGTTACATAACATTTTTCATGTAGCGTTATGTTACAATATTAAGTCTCGGTTAAGGACATTTTGCATGTAGCGTAACGAATCCCATTTACGTTAACTTAATGTTATTGGGGTGTGTATATATATATATATATATATATATATATATATATATATATATATATATATATATATATATTCTTAGTTACATAATATATATATATATATATATATATATATATATATATATATATATATATATATATATTCTTAGTTACATAATATATATATATATATATATATATATATATATATATATATATATGTATATATATTATGTAACTAAGAATATTATCTCGTGTACTTTCTTTTTTTTTTTTCATTGAATCTTTTTATTTCTTTTTCTGGTAGCTTTTACTGCTGTTTGCGAAGTCATTACAAAGAATAAATTATTTTTAAGTAAATTCAAAATTTTCAGTTGTGCATTTGCAGATTTTTATTTTTGTTTATGTTGTTTGTACTGCCTAAAACTTTTTTTTATGTAATATAAGTAATTGTTATAGTAGCACTTCGTAGTATTCAGTTTAAGTTTTTTTATGTTTATAAAATTTCTTTTGAAATATAAAAAAAATAAAAGTTCAGCATTAAGTTACTTGAATGTTATTAAAATTTTAAATTATTATTTTAAAAAAATTAAATATTAATTTAAATTTTAAAATTAATATTGAATCTTCATTATGTTAAAAGGAATACAAAATTATTAATTTTCAAGCATTATGGTATTTTTGTATTTGTAAAGTTCAATCATGAAGAACTATTACTAAGACAAAATTTTTGAAAAAATAAAAAAATTAAAACTTTAGGAAATTTTGTCCTGAGATAAATATTATCTCTTGTGTAATATATATATATATATATATATATATATATATATATATATATATATATATATATATATATATATATATATATATATATATATATATATATATATATATATATATATATGTATGTATGTATGTATGTATGTATGTATGTATGTATGTATGTATGTATGTATGTATGTATGTATGTATTTATGTATGTATCTATTTATGTATGTAAGTATGTATGTATGTATAAAATTAAAAAAAAAGAATATTTCACAAAAATGCTATAACCATATACTATTTTCCAAGTATATAATATAATAACACTGTTCTATCATATCATATTGTTAAATTGCATATAACTTATTATATACTGCCTGATATATTTTATTTAGGATTCCTACTGGAATCCCCAACATTTTCCAAATTCATTTGTTAGAGGATCTTGGGAAGGTTTTTGGTGGGCATTTGTTTCCATGACTACAGTTGGCTATGGAGATCGTGCTCCCAAATCTTTTGTTGCAAGAGTGTTTGCATTTTTTTGGGTGTTGGTAGGTCTAGTTATAATATCAATATTTACTGCAACAGTCACAACTTCTTTAACAGCCCTCTCACTTGGTACTTCAATTAAATTATATGGAAGTTATGTTGTTGCTATGGAAAATTCTGCTGAGCAAAGATATGCTGTACAAAGCAACGCAAAAGTTTTTCGTAAGTTTAATTGTATCGAAATTTCTTATTAGAAATCTAGAAAAAAAACATATTACATTTACTACATACTTTATTTACTTTAAATGTCCAGGGGGCAGTATATGTGTGTGTATTAATATATCAAATTTTTCTACAACTTGAATAAAAAAAAGTTATGTAAAAATGAATCAATCAAAACTATTAAATATTTTATTTGGCCCTATTAAATGCTGAAAAAGTTTTTTGTTGTGACCTAAATATTGCAGCCCTATACAAAATTGCTAATATCATATATGAAAAGCATAACGTTTTATTACTAGCCCTACTACTTCTATAACCGCTACATCTATCACTTTTATACATGATGTATATGAAAATATTCAAAGAGTTCCCGTCATTTTTTTTGTTTATATTAAAGATTTAATAATAACAAATAAGTATTTAACAAATTGAACTTTTCTCATAGATTGAAGATGCTTCTCTATAGCAGTGTGAGAGTATTCCATTTTCTCAGCCAGTTTTCTTGTTGTTTGACATAATTTTTCATGCAAAAGTTGGTTTAATTGTTTTTTATCAAGTTCAGTTGAGCAGCTAGAATGAGGTGTGTCTTTGAGGTCAAAATTTCTATTTTTGAACTTAGGATACTAGTCATGAGCATTTTTTTTCAGCTATTTCAGCATTCTCTCCTTACACAAATGTAACAAGCAGCTTTTGCAGCCTTGATTAAAAGCAAAGGAGGTGTCAAAAATCGCCATTTTTTCTCAATTTGACATTCCATTTTGATGATCTAAAAATAAATAAACATATTTAACTCATAAATAAACATAATTAATTTAAAAAAAATGAGATTTATTTTTTTCAAGTATAATTTAAAAAACAGAGAGAACTTATTTGCTAACCTAATAATTAAAGATCATTAATTCATTCCAAAAAAAATTTAGTCTAATCATGTATTTAAGAGAGTTGCTGAATTTGTTTTATGTATCTGAAATTAGGTATCATGTATTTAAGAGAGTTGGTAGGTATCATGTATTTAAGAGAGTTGCTGATTATGTTTTATGTATCTGAAATTAGGTCAAATATCATTGGTATCTAATTTCATTAAAAATTTTGGTTCAAAATTATTTTGCTAGTATCTCAATAAGTATTTTTTTTTTGTGAGTTTAATTAACTCAACTTATTTTCTAAGGCAAATTTAAGATAAAAAAAAAAAACTTGTCTCAGCACTTCGTTTCTCTTCAATCTTTAAAAAAATGTTTATGCTTTTTATATATTTTTTTGCAAATTATTAATAACAAATAATTATTTTTAATTTAACATATAAATTTTTTGTTGTTAACAATGAGTTTGATTAAAATAAGTTAACGGTTATTTTTATTCTTTAAAATCAATAGCAGTTAACAATGCTCAAGATTTTGTTAACACAGTCATAAAAAAATCAACACCTTCTGGTGACTCAATAGCTGGTGGTGTTGTTGACAGCTACCTTGCAGGAAAATATCCATTTAATTCAACAAGTTTACAATTTGGTATGGTAATTGACTATCAGTACACATATGGATTTGTGATAACCAATGACTTAAATAACCAAGCTGTTGAAAAATGCTTACGTCAACAATTAAATTCACGTGAAAGTTATATAGCTGATATAGTACTTAACATGAAAGCCTATCCGGTAAGAGTTTTTATCCAGTAAGAGTTTTTGAAAAATCTATTTACTGTAATAAAAAATAAATTTCAAGTTTGATATCATGAAAAAATAAATTTTTTGAGTTTGATATGATGACTAAATTTTAAGCTAAATTATGGTTAGTAATCATAGTCCATATTTTACTGTTATTTAACAAATTTATATGCGCATACATACATGCATACATACATACATACATACATACATACATACATACATACATACATAAAAATTTTATTTTGTCTTACTGACCAAGCTTTCTTTTTAATTCTTTTTTTGTCTACCTTTATTTATACATAATTAATTTTAATATTTTGTTATAAATGTGTATTCATTGCTCTGAAAGTTCTCCCTATTTATCAGTCTATGTTTATACTTTTCTCTTTGTTTAAGTTGTTTTTAAAGGACAAGTTGTACTTTTCTCTTATATTTATAAAAATTGTTTGCATATTTTTTTATGCAAAAATATGATGTTAGTGGGACCTGTTGTACAATGTTGTACAATGTTTTTTCATCAATAAATGAAGTGAAATGTTGTAGTATCTAACAGCATACTGTTAAACATTATAACGGTTTAACTGTAGTGTTATTTTTAAACTGTTATTCTTTTGAAACATTTGCTTTGTGCACATCTTTTGAAATGTTTATGAAGTAGGTTCGCAATAAAATTATAAATATTTTTTTAAATTACAAATAACGTGTAGCTTAATAATGTTTGGTTCATTCTTGGTGTTTTTAATAATAAAATTATTTAAAATTCTCTGTAGTTTAAGCTGTCTTATTTATATTTTCTGTTTATGTTTTGACATTTACACTATGAAAATAGCAACTACAATTTATTCTATATTTTCAAAGACATAAAAGTTAGTATTTTTGATAACAGTTTTTATATCTAGCTGGTTGCATCAGTAAATGTCATTCCTTAAAAACACTATTGAGTTTCCCTTCAATTATTATGTTCAATTTCAATTTTATGTACCATTTCACGTTTCTTAGTTGTGTATCTTAGTTGTGTCAATTATGTACCATTTCATGTTTCTTAGTTGAACCAAGTGTACTCAGTTGATGCTCATACTAAAACAGGATGGGAAGTATTTAGTCTTTTGAATGGTTCTGTCAATAGTTTTTAACAATTAAATGAAAAAGGCACTGTAAATATTTCTCCTTTGATTTGAATGTAGCTTTGACCATTGCACAAATATTGTAGATGACTATTTATACTAGTTTGATATTCATGCAAACAAAGTGTTTAAAACTTCATACAATTTGTATTTGGCTGTAAACAGGTTCCTTATGACTATGTCTCAACTTTCTTGTGTCTCAACATCAAAGTGTTATTACAATTGCTTTTACATTAACTAGAGTTGTAATAACTTTAGATTATGTTGTTGCTTTATTATGTGATAGAGCTATAAAATCCCCATGCTAGATTTTACTAAAAAAGGTTAAATATGCAAAATATTACCCTTTTTTTATTTTATTTCAGTTCACCTCCCTAAGGCCATGAAGACCACTTCAGTTGAGGAGGCTACTTTTAGTTATAGTTACAACCCTCTCTCAACTCTATTGCTCCGAAATATGAACCTTAACAAACAAGGCCGCTGTACAGAGAAACAAGTAGAGCGCAGTACTACCAGGAGCGTGGTGGGGATTGAACTCAGAATTCTTGCTTATGAGGCGAGCGCTCTACTACTACACCACTAATGGATAATATAAACGGATATTGAAAACCACACAAACACATTCACATATATATATATATATATATATATATATATATATATATATATATATATATATATACATATATATATATATATATATATATATATATATACATATATATATATATATATATATATATATATATATATATATATATATATATATATATATATATATATATATATATATATATATATATATATATATATATATACACACACACACATACATGCATACATACATACATACATTCATTTATACATACATACATACATACATACATACATTCATTCATACATACATACATACATACATACATACATACATACATACATACATACATACATATATACAGTTCTCAGAATTAGGGTCAGCATTTGGCAATACCGACCTAACAGTGTCATAGGTCAGCAATTTTTTGCCAACCTCAGAGTTTTAAAACTTAATTTTATTTGCTATTTCAAAAAAATTAAAACTAGGAAAATAAATGCTTTATTTAAATTCTTAATAAAATAATCAAAATTAAAAAAGCAAAACAAACATTTTATTTAAATTTTGAACAAATTAGTTTAAAAGCACGACAGTGAAACAAGTAAAATAAAACAATATATATATATATATATATATATATATATATATATATATATATATATATATATATATATATATATATATTTAATTTCCAAAACTCCTTTGATAACTCAGTGTCATTTTTATACCTGATAATATTAAATGATTTTATGTGATTAGCGTATCTAATTTTGAAAGGTGTTTCACTTATACCGATGTAAAATTTGTTTATAGAAGTTTGGACAGGATCATTAGAGGTTAAATTAGCTTAGTATACGATGTTATTTGTTAGGCATTTGTTTGTTAAAAGGCAGGTCTTTTTATCAAGGCAGTTAAAATTGTTTTTAGTGATAATTTTGTTGTTGTTTAAAATATGACGATTGTGTGCATTTAAGATAGAATATGAATGAAACCTGATTTTAACAATGCTTCATTATATCAGTAGAATTTTGAAAAATTTCTTGGCTTGAGGAATTTGCAAATAATCTTAACTCGATAGAATGCGGAAGTTGTTTTAAAATATTAGGTGGATGGTTTGAATCAACATAAATATAGTTTAAAAAGTTTCTGGGTTTGAAATACGGTTAGAAAGTGTGGTTATTGCGGTTTAGCATGATGTCTAGATAATTTACAACTTTCATGTTGCACTGTGTTGATTTAAGAAGATCGTTTTGTTTAAATATATCGACAATATGTTTTTTAATTTTTTACATTTCAGGTCCACTTCTATATTCAAAAAACGCTAAACCATCGTCCTGGTATAATCCAAATTCATTTTTATTGTAAAAATGTGAAATCTGAAACAAAAGAAAAATTCCTACAAGTTCGCATACCTCAGCACCATCAAAGGCTCCCATTGACACATCAAATAATCCTCCTGATTTCTTTATCCATATCGTTATTAAAAAGTAGTGAATTTCTTGCCTGTTGAATTAATGACTTATTCTCAGGATCAATGACCAGATGTTGCTCAGCAAAACTAATAGCGTTGTTTAGAAGTTTTTCATTTATGGATGGGTAAAAATCGCCAATATCAAAAATAAGAAATTTATAACAATGCGTATCATTTATGGATCTAAACCAGGTTATAACATCTTGCGTTTTTTACCACTGATTTAGATGGAGAATTTGTGGTTGTCAATAAAGTAAGGAAGTTAAACAGATTTGAATTGGTTAAAATGTATTAGCTTACATATTTTAGTATTAATTTCTATAAGTCATTTATGGACCCAATTAACAGTATTGTCAATTTCAGCAAAAAATGTTTTTGTTCTGCAGTGTTGACAACACTGCAGAACTAAGGGTTTTAGAGTTGTTTGAATGCATTTTGCAAATGTTTTTGCTACTAATTTGTTCTGATAAGTCATTAATGAAGTAAAAAGTGTATGATCAAAAACTCAGGAATATCACAGCTGATTTTTTCCCATTATAATGTTACATCCAAGAAGTTCACGTTGTGTTCTATTTGAAAAAATTGCTTTACTCCACTTTAAAATATTCAAATCCATAATGTTCTACTTTTTGTAGCAGTTTTATTTAAGGAAATTGTTCAAGTGCCTTGGCAAAAACAAAAAATAGAATGTCAACAGGAATTTTACATGATGTATTATAGGTCAAGAAATCCATTATCTTAAGTAAGTTTGAGTAAGTTAAACATAAGATATTTTGTTTACAAAACCATGCTGACAATTTAATATTAGGGTGTGGGACAGTAAATACTGCGTAATTATTTTGTCAGTTATTTTTCTTGGTACAGGATTAATAAACATTGTTATGTAGTTATTTAGATCTATTTTAGAACCTCCTTGGAACAAACGAATTACATTTCCTAAGAGTAATAATGTGACTTTAAATAGACACATAATCAAAGGAAATGTCAAAAATTGATATAGATGTACTTTTAGAAAATAGAAGTAAACAGATTGATCATGAGTTGATTTCTTTACAAGATTTCAAGTTCATTTGTATTCATTAATCATGGATATGGTTTCTCATTTGCTGTTAAAATTTAACTTTAGCTTTTCTTGTGTTTAATTAGAGATAACAGTTAGTGGGTAACTCGTAGCATTTTTTTTTTTTTTCAAAATTAATGCATGGGATAAATTTTTAGTTGGCAGCATTTATTTGCTTCTAAGTTTTAAAATGTTTCTCCCATTTAAAATTGGAAAGGTAATTATTAAATGCAATGTAGTTCCCTTTATTATATGCAAATTTAGAACTACTGAAGCACTTATCCCTAATAACAACTAAATGATTCTGACAAGGTGCAGTGACCTTGTGATTTGTTTCCTAGAGGAGAACCAGAGCTAATCTTGCTGGATTAATGTGGTTATTAATTCGGTTGATGGGTTCAGTGGTTATTAGATCAAGTATAATTTTTTCGAACGCCCATTGGGTTGTGTAAAAGTTGGATTTCATCTTGATGGAAGTGAAGTTTGAAAATAGAATTAGCAAATTTAGTTAATTTATCTCAGCACCTGTGGTACTTAATCAACCTTAGTTCCATTTGATGTTGGGGAAGTTGAAATCACGAGTAATAATAAGTCCTTACAATTAATTTTTTTTTAATAGGAAATTTTGAATATGAAATGGATTTGTTAATTTTTATGAAAGCAATGAGTGCAATGAATTAAATATGCATTTTCTATGAGAGGTCAGTACTGAAAAATAATCAGAGATCTAAAGTATAGAAAGTGATTTGATACTTACTATCAAAAGCATAATGTTAACATTATTTTGTTATCTTTTGAATACAGATTTATTATAACAATATTATTATATTATAAAATATATAGAGTTTCATTCCATATGAAATCATCCAGAACACCCTTATGTCTCAGAATTTGATCATTTTTACCTCACTTGCAGTCTATATTAAAAAAATAAATTTTAGTTAAAAATACACATGGATTCCAGAGATATCCTCAGTTAAAATAATGTTGACTCAGCATTTTAGTAATTATCTGAAGCGACTACAAAGCAACTTTGACATATAGTATCTTCATAATAACTTGGGGAAATTTCCTAAAATTTGGTACCCCAATAAGTTTTTACTTGCAGAATCCAAAAAGAGCACCCTCAAGACTTGATTGTCTCAGGAAATGCCTCATTTATCCAATTTTGTTCAAAATTATTGACTTGAAAATTCATGAATTTTGGAGGTAAAATGAAGGCTGTGATCCAGAATCCCGAATAAAAAGTTTAATTGTATATTGTTATTTTATCTAAAATAATTTAGATTCATCAGTTGTCTTTCTAATACTTGATCAAAATTGTGTTTTTTTAGAAAAATTTAAATTTTGTAATGAAAGCAATTTAAATGTTTTTTAAAACATTTATTTGAATAAAACATCAAATAGTGTTATTTATTGAATAGTTTAGGACGTTTATAGTCATAGGTCAAGCGAGGGCCAGGGGGCCTCTGACCAACTCTGCCCCCCCCCCAACCTCCCATTTTTAGTGGGTAATATTATAAATAATAAGCATATTTAATATGGAGAAATGTGACATAAGAAAAAGTCTTAACATTCATTGCCACAAAACTGGATTTTCTAGAAAATAATTTTTTTTTCAATTCAAAGATCTTTCTCGTGAAAAACAAGAAGAAATAATATGGGGAGCAAATTTAAAAGAAAAATATTGTTCAATAAGAATTATATGTTATCATGAGCAATTCTATGAAAATATGTGTTGCAATTCTTTTGGAACACACAAGGAAAGTTAAAATTTTGCTATAAAAAGTAATCTAACATTAATTACAAGAAGAACATTTATTATTTATAAAAATTTTATATTTTCAGTTATTTTAAAAACTTAAAACTAAATTTGTTTCTTAGGTAATATAAAGAATACCCTAGGTTTGGCAAAATTTTTGCAACAAAATAATGTTTATGTAACCCCAGGTTGGAAACTAACTCCAGGTTGGAAGTTCTGCAGTATATGTTAAAAAAAAGCAGTAGAAACAGATGGAGATTTAAATTCAAGAAGTGAGAAAAATTAAGTTAGATACCACTATAGAATTGCTTGGACTTTCACCAGTCAAACTAACAAGTCTTTCGAAGCACAGCAAATTGCCTGCAGCAAAACAAAAGTTTGAGAACACTATTGACAGAGTTGCAAAAATGGTCTCATTAGCATATAACATTAAAGAAACTTCTTTAACAACAGAAATAAAAAGCCCCATTTCAAACAACAACATTAACACTGACCATAATCTAGACATTTTAATGTAACTATAGGTGTTTACTTCAGATTAGTATCATTACTATTTGTAAATATCCTTGATGTAAGACCTTTTATTCAGAATAAATTTGATTTGACTTGATTTGATATGAAATTTAAAAAAATTAGAGACTAAATTTGAGACTAAATCTTATCGCCATAAGGTGCAAATGTTAACACTCGAACCAAAATCATGGACATGTACAAAGATATCAAGCTACTTTGAAGTGTCTGAGTATCTTGTTCGAACTGCAAGAAAATTTAAAAATGAGCATGGAATTCTATCATTGCCTGAAAAAAAAACTGGAAACCCATTTTCACCAGAAACAGTTAATATAGTAATTAACTTTTATCAAAGTGATGAATTTTCAAGAATGATGCCAGGAAAAAAAGTTTTTGTAAGTGTTTTTTTTAAAGTAAAAACCAACATGTTCAAAAAAGATTATCGCTACTTAATCTTAATCTACCTTAACGTCAAAGTAAGTTTGTCAAAGTTTTGTACTCTTAGACCTAAATGGTGTATTACAACAAATGCATCAGGTACTTATAATGTATGTGTATGCATACATTACCAAAATACAAAATTTCTCATTGATGCCATCAGGTGGAATAAAAGTTATAAAGATTTCATGGCATTGATTGTTTTGCTTCAAACACTTTAAGTTATAAAAAAACAAAAAGCAAACAAAGAGATTTCATTAAACATTAAAAAAATGGATTGCATGTTTTTATGATGGAATTTCATGGTAAGGGAATGCTGAAGATGTAAGTGAGCTTGATATAAAAGTCAGACTCATGCATCATGGACCAGGTAAAAACTTCTTTTGGCCAATGAGAAATGATGAGTGTTGGGTGCTCAATTCTGAAGTTATATGCCTAATTTCTACATCAACAACAATATCAGGTTGTATGTACAACATATCTGATTTAGATTTGGAGAATATAAGCAGTTGGTTAAAAAAATATATATATATACATTTAAATTAATTTTGTTGTAATTTTTATTACCTATTTTGCATTTAGAATTTGTCTTTCTTTTTTTTCAAATCTTTGGATGGAAGGCTGAGAAGGATGGGGTATAAATAAATCCCACTGTCCACCTTACTATGTCAATGACTATATTAGTATTAATTTACTAAATAATACTATAAAGATATTGATTTTCAAAATGTTAAAAATATTTCAATATTTTTGTTTTAAAATTTATGATTTTCAAAATAGTGAAAAGATCTTAATTTTAAGTGCTTACTTTAAAATAAAAATAATGAAAAAAAAATTGTTTTTTAAACTAAAAAAAAAAAATGTTTTTCAGTTGAGTTTTAATTATTTATTATTATATCATTTAATGCATTAAAAAAAAAAAAAAAAAAAAAAAATATATATATATATATAGGGAGATAGGTGGCCCCCTGGCCCTCCCTTGACCTATGACTATAAACGTCCTGAACTAGTCAATAAATAACACTATTTGATGTTTTATTCAAATAAATGTTTTAAAAAACATTTAAATTGCTTTCGTAACAAAATTTAAATTTTTCTAAAAAGACACAATTTTAAAACACAAATTAAAATCAAAAACACAATTTTGATCAAGTATTAGAAAGACAACTGATGAATCTAAATTATTTTAGATAAAATAACGATATACAATTAAACTTTTTATTCGGGATTCTGGATCACAGCCTTCATTTTACCTCCAAAATTCATGAATTTTCAAGTCAATAATTTTGAACAAAATTGGATAAATGAGCATTTCCTGAGACAATCGAGTCTTGAGGGTGCTCTTTTTAGATTCCGCAAGTAAAAACTTATTGGGGTACCAAATTTTAGGAAGTTTCCCCAAGCCATTATGAAGATACTATATGTCAAAGTTGCTTTGTAGTCGCTTCAGATAATAAAATGCTGAGTCAGCATTATTTTGACTGAAGATATCTCTGGAACCCATGTGTATTTTTAACTAAAATTTTCGCAGTTATTATTTTTTTAATATGGACTGCAAGTGATGTAAAAATGAACAAATTTTGAGACGTAAGAGTGTCGAAAATGTGTTTTTTTTATGATTTCATATGGAATTACTCTAGATTTAATAAAACTAACAATATTGATCTTGCTCATTTTCTATTTGATAGTTGAAGTAATTTTTAATTTGAATAATAATAGAATTGTTTCTAATTAGCATTATTTTTTAAAATTAGTTACCAGCATTGACAGCTGCTCAGCAAACATCGACAAGTTTGTTTGATCCAACCAGCCAAATTTTTCTTAGAGCGGTTTATGGATGTCTTGGATTAATTTTCTTTTTTTCTGTTTGTTGTCTTATTTGGGAATATTGCTACTGGAAACCTAAAATGAAAAAAAAAAATAAAAATGCTAAAGTTGGTGAGTTATTTGTTTAATCTTTGAAATTTTTAAGCTTTGACTATAATTGTAATAATTTTTTAATTTATATATTTAGTTAACTTTAATAATTCATGTATATATGAATATATATAATATATATATATATATATATATATATATATATATATATATATATATATATATATATATATATATATATATGTATATATGTATATACATATATATATATATATATATATATATATACATATATATATATATATATATATATATATATATATATATATATATATATATATATATATATATATATGTATATATATATACATATACATATACATATACATATATATATATATATATATATATATATACATATATATATACATATATATATATATACATATATATATATATATATATATATATATATATATATATATATATATATATATATATATATATATATATATATATATATATATATATATATATATATATATATATATATATATATATATATATATATATATATATATATATATATATATATATATATATAAACTACATTTCTTTTTTTTTCATTTCTCTTTGTCTTCTTTTAAAAATAATATAGCATCTTTGCGCTTTCCATTACTTAAAATCTTTTGTTCATTGTTATAAAAAGTATTTATTACTGTCTGATTAACAAGAGAAAGCACTTTAAATGACCCTCACAAATAAAGCTGTGGTCTAAGTTATATTCATATAAAATATATTTGCTAACTTTTCTGATATCAAAAATTTCTATTATAAGTAAACTTTTTTTTACTGCATCAAGCATAGCAAAGCAAATAATAACATGATTTGAAAGCAATTTTGAGGGAGTTATGAGACTTCCTCTGGATAGTAGTTCAATATATTCTGTATTTAAATCAATGAGATCACTTTTTAGCAATAAAGTACATAGCTCACATTTAACTTTTTTAAGTAATTTTCTGCATATATATTCAGTAATAAAAACTTCTTTATTGTTATCATCTAAATCACATTCCTGAATATCATTAATAAAAAGTTCAGAAATCAAATTTATATTTACAACTGACTTGAAAGTTTTTAAATCTATTTTCCAAAAATCAAAATTTTCTTTTAATAATGATCTCATTTGCAAAAAATTTTCAGAAGTTGTTACTTCACGTAATCCAACAAGAAATCTGCCACCACTCATTTGATGATACTTTAAAAAATGTCACTCCAATGGTTCACTTTGGAAACGAGAGGTTAGAACATAATTATATCCTTCAAATAGAAGATCTTCAATTAAACTAGAAGTACTTTGCAGTGTTACAATAAGGGCTTTAGAAGTCTGAGCTGTAAGAGAATATCTTTCGGTGGAACTGTATTGCGAATTTTGCCACTTATCAATCCAGTGAGCAAATGCACATAAAAATTGTGGCTTACTGTCCCCCATAACAGATGCATTTTCAAACTTATGATTAGAGTATTTCATTTTAGATTTAGATATTACCCACCATAAATAAACAAGTTTTAAAAATTCTGATGCTGAAAATTCATTAGGAAAATAACTTTGAATTGCTGCAGATGTTGTTTCATGGAATATATTTAATGCTAGGTTGATGTCTTGTTTATTGTTACCTGGATATAATGTCTTTTCTCCTAGTTTTGATGCCTTTCTTAAGTTTGCTGATAGAGTTTTTTCATGCACTCTATAAAGCAATCCCCAAGATATATCACCTGCAGAGACTTTTATATTATAAATGTAATCAGTGAACTGAAATGATGGGAAAATAAACTTTTTGGTACTAATCAAATTATTTCTTAAGTTTTCGAGCAAATGTACACTATCATACATCAAATAAATTATATGACCATTAAAAGTGATACAAAAATTTTCTTCTGGCTTCTCTGAACCATAAACACTGAGTAATTTTGAACAAGCTGACATTAGTTGGATGGTTATCAGCAATCAATACACAAATGTTAAAACCAGTAGATCTTAATGTATTTAAACTTTCTTCTATTTCATCTTTAATAAAATCTCCAGTAAAACTAATTTCTGGGATAGCTTTAATAACATATGGTATTGATTATTTAAGACCAACAATCATGAACATAATTATTCCTTTGTAGAGATTACCCTCAGTATCTTGACTAATTAATCTACCACTGTGGTATTCACAAGATTGCTGTAAATATATTTCATCAAAAAGAAGAACACAATCATTGCTTATTTTTCCTTCATTTAATAACAGCTTTAATGATTTTATCGAATCGATTCCACCAGAAACTAACTTCTTTATTAGTGACATTGATGGTAATGAGAGTTGTTTCAAAAGAAGGGTATAAGCCTGAAATGATGAATATCTTTGCATAAGTGCAAAACATAATACTTGTGAAGAATATGGAGGACGACCTTTTCTGTAAACAAATTTCATCCATTTTTCTTCTAAAACATTATCTTAAGAAAAACTAAAAACAGCTTTACTTGCACTAAGAGAACTAGATTCATTTTTTTTTTAGATTTATAGCCAGTTCGACAATTACAGCGCATTTGTTCACCATTATATCCAAAATTAAATTTCCAACTTAATCAATCTCTCAAAATAAAATTTAAACAATATTAACTGGCAGTATGAAAAATAACCGAAATGCTAAAAACTGGCCTTCTAATTTTCGGCCTATTTATGCAACATATCCGGCTGTGTATAAAGTAGGCCATGTATATATATATATATATATATATATATATATATATATATATATATATATATATATATTCAATTCTTATTTTAAATATAAAAGTAATCTAATATAGATAGGTAAAGAGATTTAACGAAAGATTGCAAAATTTCTTATTAACAAAACTACAAAAAACTTTTAGTTTAAGTGCTCTGCAGTGTTATCTGTTCGCTGTTAGTGTTTGTTTAAAAAGTCGTTTCATAACACGCATGCGCTAATATTAATCTTAACTTTAGCACTAATATCATTAATAATTAATAAATAAAATTCTATTTATATTTACAATATTAATTATAATTATATTATTGGTTTTGTAATTTTTTAGAAGCCAAACGCATTTTAACACCACATACATCATTCGAGGAACTTGTAGCTGCCCAGTGTCAAGATTTGGAAGAAAAATTGGTTGATCAAGTTACGAATTTCTACAAAGAGTTTCACAAAAAACTAAACAAAATACGAAAACAACATTCCATCGCTTCAACGGAGTTAAACAACAAAGCATTATTAAGTAATAATTCCGAAAGTTCTACCGTTTAAGCGTATACCACTGTTGCCCATAACGAAACGGAACTATCAGTAACAGTAACACTGTCTCAAAACTTTTGTTTATTATAAATCTTTTTTCAAATTAACGCATGAAAATCATCAGATATCTTCAATAATAAAAGATATAGTATTTTATACATAAATAACTATAAGTAGGGTTCTATCCAACCTATAGTATCTAAAGGTTGTATCCTAGAATCCAATATAAAGAATGTGTAATTTTTTGATGTTCTCAAAAATAATAAATAACCATTATTTGCAACCAAAAAATTATATAAAAAGTTAATTAAATATAAAATTATATATATTATAATAATGGTGGAAATGAACGATAAAATCATTTTAAAATACGAATTTTTTTTAATATAACTTTATAAAATAAGCAAGTTGTGAATATTTTTACAAGTTGTTTTTTCGAAAATTTTTAGGTCTTTGTATATTTATTAGATATGATTGTTTACTTTGTTAATATTGGATTTGTTCATATTTTATAATTTTTAAATAAACGCACATCATAGTTATGGTTTTATTGACTTTATACGATTTAAAATCCAGGATTTACGCAAAGCTTTTTTATGTAAAATTTAGGATTCACACAAAGATTGTTTATGTTAAATCCAGGATTCACACAAAGCTTGTTTATGTAAAATCCAGGATTTATACGGAGTTTGTTTATGTAAACTCCAAATTTTAATTGAAAATAGTTACAAATATTTCCGCAAAAGAAACAAAATATAATTTTTTACACTAACCTGAATTAGGTTTAAAATGTTTCCACAAAGTTCACATTTTTTCACTCACTGAATAATGTTAAATATTGTATTTTTAATAAAGAGTGGAGGGTGACTATTTGATTATGAGGTAAATTAAATAAACTTCTTAAGCTTTTAATATATTTACTTGATTTTTATTTTTTTCATTAAAGAATGATCTAAATATAGTCAATTGATTTGCACACAAAATTTATAAATTAATTTGAGAAAAATAATAAAGATATATATAAGATATGTATAAAATATATAAGATATGAATAAAAATAATAAAGACTGTATATATATATATATATATATATATATATATATATATATATATATATATATATATATATATATATATATATAATGTAACTATATGTATCAGGGTTGCCACTCAATCTGGAAAATCTGAAAAACTCAGGGATTTTTTAAAATTTTAATAAAGTTCAGGGAAAACATTTTTTTTTTTTTAATTTTGTACAATAGTTTTTTTTCAAAAATATTTTGCTAATGCATATAATAATAAATTTGCAAGATATGGGTGTTGTTTTAAAAGTTTTAGTTTCTCAAATATAAAGATTGTGTTTAAGTAAGGAAAATATTAATATCTAGTTGATGGATCAAAAAGAATATAGAAAAATCAGGGAAAACTCAGGGAACTTAAAAAGTTCCACTCAGAGGAAAACGTTTCTTTTGCGGAAATATTTGTAACTATTTTCAATTTTTCTTTACTCAGGGAATACTCAAAAAATCATAGTGGCAACCCTATATATATATATATATATATATATATATATATATATATATATATATATATATATATATATATATATATATATATATATATATTTATTTATTTATTTATTTTTTTTTTTTTTTTGTTCTTTAATTTTACAACTTTGTGATTTAATAAATATTCGTTAACAATGTATATATATATACATGATCGTTATTAAGAAATAAAAGAACGCGGGAACTCGTAGAAGACCGTAAGGTCTTGTCGTCGAGAACCGCTAAAAAAATTTCGTGTTAATATTTCGTATTAATAAAATATTCTCAAAATAAATAAACTTTCAATAGGAATATATACTTAACATACTTGAAGATAACAACCCAGTAAGCACAAAGACGTTTAAAAGACGTTTTAAAGATGTCTTTAAGGAGGTCTAAAAGGCGCACTTGTAGACGTCTAGATCATAAGGCTAAAAGACGTCTAAATGAAGACGTCTTTATAAAAACGCGTTTTAGACGTATTTTAGACGTTTTTTTCAAAATGAATTTAAGTACATGACGTAACACTTTTGCGTAGTATGTGGTATATATTCATTGTATTTATAACATCATATATTGTTTTAATTTCGTTTATACCAAATATACATATGAACCAGCAATCAAAATAATATTGCTGTAATCACCATCAACGGTTGATGCATCAAAGATGAAAATAATAAAAAACAACTAATATATATATCAAAACAGTGTGTAAAACATTTATAACTTATTTTTGGTTACAATGAAATTTAACATATTTAATGATAGCTAATTTTTGACCGCATACTTGACTTATTATATGGCTTGTGGGTGTATAAAAACTAAAAATACTGATATTTAACTTATATATTATTCTTGCCATTTTCACTTATTATCATGATCAGTCAACTATCTATTAAAAAAGCAAAATAATTATTAATAAAAAAAAGATATATTAATATTATAGCAATTATTTTAGTGATTCCTGTGACAACAATTTTAGCAATTGTGTAAAAAAGTAATTTAATTTAAAGTAATTTACACTTAAAACTTGAACAAATTATTGAAAATAATAAAAACTATGTTTTTACTTTGAATATACGACATCTTCTTAACGCGTAATGACAAAGCCGTCAAAAATAAGTCATAATGACATATTTATAAACAAGTCACAGAAAAGACGTCTTTTAGCCTTGATCTAGACGTCTTTTAATGCGTCTTTTAGACTAATTATTATGCGTCTTTTAAACGTCTTTTTAAACTTTAAAAAGACGCATTTTAAACGTCATTTTAAAATCGCATTTATTAAAGACGTCTAGAAAATGTCTTCAAAACGTCTATAAAAGTGCGTCTTTACCTAGACTAGTTTTAGACGTCTATAAGTGTCTAAAATGCGTCTTGTGCTTACTGGGAAATAATTAAGAATTAAGAATTGAAAACATAAACAAATTTAAAGAAAAAAAGAAAAAGAAAAACGGTTCCGTTATAAATACATAGATGCGTTATACAGTTTTAAGATATCTTTAGCACAATTGTTAAACTTTTTGTTAAAGGTTTTGTTATACAGTTTTAAGATACCTTTAACAAAAGTGTTAAACAACTATTTACAAATTGTTAAATTATAAAATTTATTAATGCAGTGTTAAATATAAAGTTAAAAAAGAAACAAAAAATTAAAAGAATGTAGATATATCATCTAATAAAAAAATGACTTTTTTAAGTTTTTGTTTGAAAGAGTGATAACTAACTTCTTGAGAAAAGTCAAAATTCTTTAAAACTATTTTATTCCAAAGTAATGCTCCTCGAAATGAAATACAGTATTTTCCAGAATTAGTTTGATAAGCTGATTGACGAATATTATTATCAATTCGTAAAATGTACTTAGTTTTTTCTTTTTTGTTATAAAAATTATGAAAAGGTACAGGAGAAATATTGTTTTTACATTTAAACATAAAACATATAACGTTAAAAATATTAAGCTCATATATATAAGACTTTCATTTCAATTAATAGAGGCTTGGCATGAGTAAATCGATCCTTAAAATTAATAAGGCGTGCAACATGTTTCTGTTGACGATAAAGAGGTTCCAGTTTACTTTTATTAGTACTACCCCACGCAATGTTCGCATAGTTAATGTGACAATGAATGAGCGAATAATATAGTTTAAGTAATGTATGTTTATTTAAAAAACACCTTGCTTTGTACAAAATTCCTATGCTTTTTGATATTTTACTACTCAAATTTTTTGTGTGACTTTTCCATGACAAATTTTCATCAATATAAATACCAAGAAAGTTTGTAACTGTTACTTTTTTTAGAAGTATATTATCAATAAAAAGCAGTGGCATTTCATTTGGTATAAGATTTTTTTTGTGATTTGGATGGAAAAAAATCCATTTCGCTTTATCAATATTAAGAGACAGTTTATTTGTCTTAAACCAATCAGAAACTCTTACTAATTCATTATTGATATTCTGAAATAACAATGTAATATCATTATGAGATAAAAATAAGTTCGTGTCATCAAATTTCAGGCTTTATGGAGATCTTTGATGTAAATAAGAAAAAGAAGAGGCCCTAATATTGATCCCTGAGGAACTCCACAGGTTATATCAAGCAAGTTTACTGGTGAGACTACATCAACGTATACAAATTGCTTTCGATTATTTAAATAGCTTTTTAACCAATTTAAAACACTTCCGTTTATACCGTAAATCTTTAGTTTATTTAAAAGAATATTGTGGTCTATTGTATCGAAAGCTTTAGCTAAGTCAATAAAAACCCCAACTGTATATTGGGAGTTTTCAAAAGAGTTAGTAATACTTCTTGTAAACTGGAGAACAGCGTGTTCTGTCGAGTTATTTTTTTTGAATCCATATTGATTGCTATATATTAAATTGTTTACAGATAAATGATTATAAATTCTGTTGTATAAAATTCTCTCCAAGACTTTTGAAAATGCAGATAGAATAGAAATGGGACGATAGTTGCTAACATTAGTTAAATTACCTCCCTTAAATATCGGAATCACCTTTGCTATTTTTAGTTGGTTAGGAAAAATTCCTTGCCTAATAGAACAAGAAAAAATCTTAAAAAGTACATCTTTAATGATTTCATATGATTTAATAACAATATTTACATTGATATCATCCGCACCTGCTGATTTGTTGGGTTTTAGCATTTTAAAAGCGCATTCAAACTCTTCAAAAGTTAGTTCAAGCGAATTAAATTGCGATGTATTAGGGATAAATAGATTTTTTATTGGATTAATTGCTTGAGGAATTTTTTGGGATAAATTTGGTCCAACAGAAACAAAATATTTATTCAGCTCGTTAGCTATCTCTTCTTTATCATACAAAAATTTATCATTTGATTTGATGGTTTTAGGCAATGTAAATGTGTTCATTTTAAAACTGCCTGTGATTTCCTTTATAACTTCCCATGTGCGCTTAGAATTTAATTTATATTTCTCAAGTAAATCATTGTAATAATTTTTTTTAAGATTTTTTCTTTGACATTCGAATTGTTTGGCGTAACTTTTATATACTTTTATATATAGCTTTACTTTTATCTGTTTTTAGTTTTAGGAATTTAATGTACAATTTTTGTTTGATT